TGGGTGTCTCATGAACAAGCATGGGTGCCTCATGGACAAATGTGTCTTGGGGACAAGTGTTAGTGCCTCATGGACAAGTGTGAGTGTCTCATGGACAGTGAGGGTGTCTTAGGGACAAATGTGGGTGTCTCAGGGACAAGTGTGGGTGACATTTTACCAGGACCCTTACATTCAAGTCCCATAGCTCATCCCTTATCCCTCACCAATTGAAAGATGGCCTGCCTGCCTTTTTAAAAGCCCTAGAATGTTCTGTGTCTGTTAGGCCAGGATATTTGCTGGTCTGTTACAAGACTATAGATCTTTAGCTTGTCTTTATTTCTGAAGTTACATCTGAATTGCATTATAGACTTATGTGCTGTAATGTTGCTTGACCTATTGCTCGGAAAACATACCACACACTGAGAGGAAAAGCCTAGCTCAAGAGGAGTTGAGGACATTTAATCCTATAAAGCAAATAGAAGAGTGAGACTTGAATCTGAGCTGTCGCTCACTGACAATGTTTTGTTTTCGTTCACGCGTTCCCTCCCAGGTGGCCACCCGAGGTCTGCAGCGGGTGAGAGACCTCGCTAGGTGCCAGGATTCTCGAAAGCAACCTTTGACTCCAACCAGCCTGAGAGTCCTTTTTCCCCCAATACTTCTGTCTGCTCTTAGTCCCAAGTATGGGAACGGCAGGCAGGGAAAGGCCAAAAGCAGAGCTGAAATGGATCTTTTTCTTGTGGTTTAAGGATCAGCCAGTTGGAACCAAGGAGATGTTTTCTTAGGGTTGCAGAGAAGTTTGAAAGCGTATTGGATTGTTTTTGGCACTGAAGCATAGATTATAGATATATCATTAGTATTGCTAAGCCGATGGGCTATAGTACAAGAACTGCTATTTAGAAGTGCATTCTTGCAAAAGTACGCTGCCCTCAGCTCTGTAATGGAAGGCCGCTGTGCATTTAGATGTCTTATCTCCTACCACCACGTTGACGTTGTAATTACCCACGCTATGAAAACCTCTCTGCGGTGTGGGCATTGCACAGCTCGTGAATCTAGGCAGGTAAATACCACGCGGACTCTGGCCAGCCGCACACACCAAGAGGCCTTGCACATGCATAGCAAATGCTCTTTGGTTCTGAAGTTCAAGGTCAGCCAACCTTGGTGGTTTCTTCCTTAAGCTGCCTGTCTCTCTGGAGAAATGCTAGGGTTTTGTAATTTACCTCAGAATCTCCCAAAGAGCCAGAGGCCCATTTCTCTTTTAGAAAAATGTGGCAGGACTCTTTAGAATTGTTAGCATTGAATACTTCCAGTCAAAAAGAATAGCAGTTTTGCTGAACTTTAACGTCTTCCTAAGTCCTTGGTGCCAGATGTACGATTTTCCTATTGGACTTGCCAAAACCACTAAATAGTTAAAACACATCAAATCATCTCTAAATGGTCAAATTGAATCCCCTCCCCACCGCCACCCAAACAAGAACTCTTAGTCAGCAAACCTCATGGTTGTATTCCATACTAGAAAATTTCTGATCAGGCTAAAAATTAGGAAAACAGACTTACAACGCGAAAGACTCCAAATTTCCTTTTTGTGTGCAGGCTTAGAGCAAGAACCACCAGAGAAAAGGAGAGAATTAAGGGAGAACAGTCATAATGATGACAATCACAGAGAGAGCACCAACAGTGATTATTATCATGCCCGCAACTACATGTTCTTAATGCCCAAAATCCCCCATGAGTTTCCCCAACACAGGCCTCTGGCAGGTGGAAGCTAGGGGAAAGGAGACTGTAGTTCATGCCAGGGGCTCTGGCATCTTTGATGTGGCAGAAACTGCTCTTGGGACCAGCCGTCGCTTCCGAGCACATGCGAGGAACCATCCAAGAGTTCTTTGTGGTCGAGCATCCCCAAATCTTTGGTATTAAAAATGCCAGCAAATAATCCTTGGGCTTAATAAGAAGCTAACCATAAGTCCAACCATCAAACAACATGTTAAGTGGCTTGCAAGGAGTAAAGAGGAGACCTTCCAATTCACATATGTCAATTATGTCTAGATACTTGGCAGGGCAGAGGGTGGTGAGAAGGGGTTCACATCCCCCAGAGAGTCTGAACACTCTATTCTTTTTGCCTCAAAGTGACCGTACCTGCACTTTACGTTTTCTGAGCTATATTAATTTCCTCATAATTTCTCTTAATTGCTAGCTCATCAAAGCCAATGTCAAGCTTCCTGTTCATCCTGTATGACAGTTGTTCTCAGCCCTTTTCCTTGGGATCACCTTGAGAGCTTCACAAAATACTGATCCCCAGGCAGCACTCCAAAACGGTTGAGTTGGGGGGTGCCTGGGTGGCTCAGTCGATTAAGCATCTGACTTTGGCTCAGGTCATAATCTCACGGTTCACGAGTTTGAGACCCGCATCAGGCTTGCTGCTGTCAGTGTGGAGCCCACTCTGTCCTCATCTCTCTGTGCTCCTCCCCTGCTTGCTGTCTCTCTCTCTCTCTCAAAAAATAAATAAACATTTAAAAAAAACCAGTTAAGTTGGAATTTCTGGAGGTGGGACAGGTGTCAGGACTTTGTAAACCTCCTCAGGTGGTTCTAGTGTTCAGCCTGGGTGGAACGTCACTGCTGTAGAGGATTGGGGAGGGGGGGGGAGGGCAGCAGAATGGGGGAGCTAGGAGGTAGATGACATCTTCCACAAAGTTCGAGCATGGAGAACTTCACAGGATGCTGATTGACATTTAGCAGGTTGCAATTGCTATAGCTGATTCCCCTCACTCCCCAGTAACTCCCCAGCAGAGGCATGGGTTCCTCCAATTGTATATTAATTGGGTTTTCAACAGTTTGCATTCCTCTAAGCTTCTTGGCTAAAATTGACCAAAATGTCATTGAGACCTTAAGAAAGTGAATGGGTCACTGACACAGGCATCAACAGAGAGAGCCATACAAATAGGCTAAACCTCAGGAGGTCCTCAGGAGAACCTCTAATTCTAGCTGACTCAAGGCTGGTTGTTCTGGGGTTCTGGACCCCATGGTCATGGGGGTCCAGACATAACGTGGCCTAGACATAACATGGACTATAATATGGAAAGTTCCATCAAGCAGGTTGCCCAGTGCAGTAGACTTCCTCTGGGTTGGCTCTCTCTTGGCCCTGGCTCCCTCACCCCATGGGGAGATTGCAGACAGAGGAGGGCCACAGTGGACCTTCTAACACAGTGATTCTCAAGCTTAGGTGTGCACAGAACCACCTGAGGGGTTAAAACATAGATGGCCGGGTCTCACTCAGCATTGCTAGGTCTATGATGGGGCCGAAGCATTTGCATGTCTAAGAAGTTCCAAGACATTGCTGATACTACCATGGCTCCCACTTTGAGAATCACTGCTTTAAACAGGGGGCCCTGGACAGACCAGGGTTGTCCTGGTCTAGAAGAAGTACCCTAGACTTCAAGAGCATTCCATCATGCCCTGTAAGAAGGAATAGAACACGGGTCTGCAGTGAGCTTGGCTTTATTTTCATGCATTTGTAAAAGGGTGAGAGCCATCTGATTTAGTGATTACCTCATGAGAACAGACAGCATTTTAAAATAGATATGCACTGGGGTTGGTTGCCCCTAATATCTTTGCATCAGAAATCGGGGATATTTAAATCAGATTTAATTTTAGAGCCCCAACCCTCACTAGCATAAGACTAAAAACAATGATAGCAGTTTCTGTGAAAATCATTTAGGGGTGCCTGGGTGGCTCAGTCGGTTAAGCATCATGACTCAGGTCATGATCTTGAGGTATGTGGGTTCGAGCCCCGCATCGGGCTCTGGGCTGATGGCTCAGAGCCTGGAGCCTGCTTCATTCTGTGTCTCCCTCTCTCTCTGCCCCTCCCCCTCTCACGCTCTGCCTTTCTCTCAAAACTAAACATTAAAAATTAAAACAAAAATCATAGTGTTTCAGTATTCTTGACAGTGAATTGTTCTCTCCAAAAGCAAACTACTTATACCTATGCTGATCGAGAGAAGGTCAAAAGCATAGGAGATGTGAGACGGGGTCTCAAATATAGCGCTCAGGCATCTAGATGTGATTGGCAGGTGACCCTGGTGCACGAGGGTGGCTTGGCCCAGGTTGCATCCATAGGGCCAGGGAAATTTTTGTGATAGGTCTAGGGAGAATCCCCAAGAAGGTAGCTCTGCCTAGAATTTGGGGGATTTTTTATGGAGATCTAAA